TTTCAAAATATGCCCCAGCAAATAGATACCAAAATTCAATTTGAAATGTAAAATTTGAAAATGAAAATGCATTTTAAGAATGTGGCTGCATTATTTGACTCATTAATAAAATGAATAATCAATCATCCTATTTGCATTTGCATTTTCTTCTGAACTGCACATTTTATGCCATAATCAAAAAGAAATCAAAGAGGAAATTGCTATTTCGTTTTTGTGGTCTGCCCCGCAAATATGACCATAATTCGCAAATGAATTGGCAAATCTGAGCGCGCAGGAGAGTGACGTCAGTAAGTGTCTTTCGTCCAGTCCGTGCTGCGTGCTACCCATCTAATACGGTAGAGGCGCTGTGCACATTATTAAATAAGGCAACCTCATTGACATCTGAATCTGTGACGGCAGAGTATGCGGCCAAGCTCTCTATGCTGACACTGTTCAACTCGGTCCACGGGCATCAGAATAGATAATAATATTGAATCCACCTGGGCAGCTAATTAGGGACCGAGCACTGACCAAAGTGCAAGGACCTATTGTTCCTGTAGGATTTATTAATTATATAGGATACCACTTCAACTGCAATATTATGGTGGCGAACATGACATCAAAAAGATTCATGGAATTTGCACAAAATTCAAACGTAGCGAAAAACCGGTAATCAATTGTCCGTGCACGGGCGGGGCCACATGGCGGGCCCGCCCGAATCAGCCTCAAAGACACGTCAGGTCCGACATGTAGGAAAATCGGTACGCTGGTGTATTCGTGATAAAGAAGCAGAAACCTTCTTGGCCATATCCGAAACCCAACAGGAAGTCGGCATTTTCATTTTGAATTTTCCTATTGATTTGCCATTTTGTGGTCATTTTCAATTTTTGGGCTTGTATTTGAAGGACTCCTCCTAGGGAATTCATCGGATCTGCTTTAAAATTGGTCAGTACAGTCAAAAAATGTTGCTTGTTAATGAACGCTGTGGTATTTGTGGCTTTGTACGTTGAAGGGAGGTCCGTGGCGATGCAGTCAAAGTTGGCCATTTTTTGAATTCCGTGGTCTTGTATTTGAACGAACTCCTCCCAGGGAATTTTATGGGATCGACTTCAAGATTTGGACACAGCCATCTAAACACATATAAGTTAAAGTTGTGCTATTCCACGTTATTCGTTGACACCGTGGACGTGGCGTCATGAGTCCAAGTTGATCCCTCCATAAAAGAGGGATTTGTCATAACTCTGCATACAGATCCGACTGCAAACCAAACTTTCACGTTTGATTAAGAGTCGCCCTGAAAACGTCTATGTGATAATATTCCAGTATACTGAGAGCGCCCTAGTGGAACAGGAAGTAAGACGTTTTATACTTTGATGTTCTACTACTAGCGGATGATCAAAATCCAGCTGAAATTTAATTATTATATATATTATATATACCATAATTATAAATGCAAAACATATTGATTTTTTTTTTTTTTTTTTTTTTTTTTTTGATGATTGTGTTGATGTGGGGGGCGTGTCTGTGGCGTGGCGGGATCTTTGGAATGTATTGACACAAAACACAATTCGCATATAACTTAATGTACATTGTCAATCAGCTCCAAATCATTGTCCCTGATAAGAGTCCCACCAGAACATGCATATGTGATACAATACAGTAATATACTGATACCGCCAACCTAGTGGCAACAGGAGTTCACAATAACTTCGGCGTACGTGGTCCAATCTCAATGAAACTTCACAGTGTTTGATAAGTCCCGCCCTGAACACGTCTAATGAAATATTCAGCCTAGTGATAGCGCCACCTAACTGGCAACAAGGAAGTAGCGCTGCGTGGGATTTTGAGCGTGATTTAGTGAGATTTTATATGTTGTGGTCCGCACGTGTTAAGTGTTACGAGGCACGTGACGCGGCCGCACCACGCCCCGAGATTGCGTGGAGTGCGAGGTCGCATCCAAAAGCATGCTTGCAGCCTTTAATTCTAATAAGTTGCACAATCTCAGGGAGCCCATGATCTTGTAGATGGTGCACACCAGCCCTCTCGTATTAATTGTAAATCAAATATGCAGCCACATTCTTAAAATGAAAAAGCATTTCTGCAAATGCATTTTCATTTGAATTTTGGTCACGATTCGCTTCCATAGATTAAAAGCTACAGAACAAGCTAGAAAGTTGTACTTTGAGTCAAGTTAAGTCATTTAAGCATTTTTGTTCTACTTAATTTATATACCAATTTCAAAAGAAAAGCATTTATCCACCCACTGATTTATACTCACATATGTCAGCACTGGGATCCTGTACATGGCAGTCAAACATAAACTCAGTGTTTCTGCAGTGTGTATTGTTGGCCAGAAGAGGGCAGACTGTATTTGACCACTGTTCCATAGACACAAGCACACACCACACACAGCACTTAACGTTTGCTTTCCCTACATCTCCAATCACAGTCAATACTAAAAGTAGATTATAGTAAGTAAGAAACTAGATTTCACTCCCCCATCACTAAGGCAGGCAGGTAACCATCATGAAGTTAAGACAGTACTTCATACATGTCAAACCAGCTCACTTGAGCGACTCTGGGATCACCAAATGTAATTTCTAATGTCATGTCATATTTTTATGTAGGCGCTCTGGTGTAACCAGGTTTTGTTCATGTCAGGTTTTATAGAATTGTCACCAGACTGCGAAAAAAACGGGTGTGATGGGTGCATAAACTACAGATGTATTTATTATTTTAAACAATAATATACTGATGATAGTGAGATCATGGGATGGCAGAAGACAATGTGGAGTTAGAGTTGTATATTATAAAACTACGTCAAAATGATGGAGCTTTTGGAAATATGAAGCTGCATATTTTCATTGTTTTTGAAGCTGCACTGATCTATATTTTTATATGAAGACTAAATCAGATAACACAAGTGTAATTTCAGTCTATTAGTCTCTTTAGCTCGTTTTTACAGCTACAACTTTGCAGATTTCTTCATCATTGAAAACAATATTATATAGTTCCCAAAACAGGAAATAATCTGATTCAAAATTCATTTACATCTCTCATTTTACACAAACTTCTCAGTGGATTACACGATAATATCTGTAATTAAGGTCAGGGGGATATTATTACAACTAAGATGATAGAAAAGGGTCCCTTAGGAAAAAGGTTGGGAACCACTTTATTAGACACATATCTATTAGACATTAGTGTGACTTCCTGTCTATGCAAAGAAAATTCATCTCAACTGACTTCCCTAATCCCTAATTCCAACCATCCTCTGACTCTACAGACACATGTATTTTACATTGCTTACAGTCTCATAGCATAGATGAACTTGTTTTGTATACTCCTAAATGAAACTGTTCCAAACTCACTTATTTGTTCACCCTCTGCTCCACTGGCCAGTTTTCTCAGCATTAACCTTATAAGGTCTGATGAGAGCCACATGCCTGGTGAGAACCTTGAGAAACTCAAATATCCTTCTCACTCGTTCGCACAGAAAGCTCTTATATGTGAACTTTCGTTCCTTGTAGCAGTTTGAGATTTTGCCTTGATAAAAGCTTGCTAAATAAAACATGCAGTGATTATTATTACCGCAGATGTGAAGGACGGGGAGAAAGGATGGAGGGTATAAAATACCATTTACAAGGATGCAAAGTGGAACAGCACAGGCGATCAGCGGCAGGCT